ATATGCCCAAAACCTCGTATAATAACCAAGTTCCTATTTTAGATTGTGCCTGTGTTTTAGTTTAACGTTACTGTATTTATCGGGGACACAAAAAATCGGGACATTTTTTTATTATTATTTTTTAAGCTATTGTAAAAAATAGATTGTTCGAATGAAATAAATGAATTATGTACGATGAATAAATGTTATGGTGATGATGTGTGTGTTTTATTTTAGTAACTAATTCTGTTGAGAATAGATTTTTTACTTACTTGATTTACGCTCTCGTTTAGCTTTGGCTGCATTTTCGTCTCAATGTTGATACTAATATTATAATATATATATATATATATATATATATATATATATAATATATATATATATATATATATAATATGTGTGTGTGTGTAATTTATTATTGTAACTGTTGTTGGTAATTCTAAATAAATAAATTAAATATTATAAAAAGGGATATGTTTGTTTGTTTGTTAAAATATTCTAGAAGTACTGATTGGTATAGGTAATTCTCTCATTTAGGGATAGCTATATTGTAAACTGATGATTATTCAAATTGACATGACTTGTTTATATATGAACCGATTGAAATAAAACAAATTCTAAATATTAATCGGTTAAGTCGTTTCTGAGATTAGCGCGCTCAAACGCATAGACAAACAGACAAAAATTGTGAAATCCTATGTTTTGGGTTCTATTACGTTAATAAAGACCCGTAATATTAGTTTTTCTTGAAGATCTTTTATGTACAGACAACGATCAGTTACACTTTTATTAATGTGTAGATTATATTAGTACTAACGACTCACTCTCGCTTCTAGGATGCGTTTCGAGGTACGTTTTGACGTTAGAAAAAAAAATCTATACATTTTTAAACATTCGTAAAGCAAAGGAAAAATAGGGTTTTCAATTAAAAAAAAATTACAATTTAAGTGATTATTGATAAATGCTGTTAGATAATAAGTTTAACCACAAACGAAACAATACATAGCAGTTACCTCATCTCATAGAAATAAAATTAACAGCTATAATTTGGAATATTTTCATTTTGCCTAAGTAGGCAATAGATGGCGTTGAACCACACATAATCACTCACCCTCGGGTTCGTACCTAGTTAAGTTTTAACGTTTAGTAACTAGATAGAGAGATAACTTCCCGCAGTGAAAAGTATCCTATATGTTGACCCGGATAACCAGCTATCATCATACCAAATTTCATCAAAATCTGTCCAGTGGTTAGCTCGTGATGCGTTCCCAGACAGACAGACAAACATTCTAAAAAGAATAGATTCGACCTCTGTATCGATAATAATGACTATTTCAATAAGATTTTCCAAAAAATATTTTATGTACCGATTCAACTCAAAATTTTGAGGTTTAAATTTATTTGTTACATTTGAATGAACCCATAAATAATTTGCGAAAATCCTATTCATTACTTTATTATTTTTTTTAATTTTCTTTAAAACAAACTATTCATTTAATAAAACCTTACTGTTGTAATTTAAGACAAGAAACACGAATAAAATACGAAATTTCAATCCAAATCAGGTTTTATTTAGAGTTTTACATCCTTGGATTAAATTATAAAAGAAATACTCTATTTGCATGTAAATATTAAGTTTTTAAAATTTTCCACTACTCTCCAATATACTTAAAAATTTCCAAATAAATTTTTCAAAATCTTATTTATTTTTCAAACTATAGAAGTAATTTTTAAGTAAATATTTACATGCAAATAAAGTAACATCTGGCAGATTACAAAATTCATTTTATATTATCAAATCTCCTATAAAATAGAAAAGTGGCATTCATACAAAAAACCCTTGTATTTTTAAATCATTACCATAAAACATCTTTTTTTTTTTGTTTAAAATATTAACTACAAAGAGGTGCTATTTTGAGCTGGACTTATTTTTAGAAATATGAACTTAACACCTCCAGGTAAATTTCTAAGAAATTGATTAAATTTCTAAGATATCTATTGTTAGCTGTAACGCCGGCGTGTCCGCGGTCGTTGAGGGATTATCCCTTAAAGGATTTGAAAATTATATGAAAATTCACTAAAGAAAACGAAAAGCCTCGGACAAACCTTAGTGTTCCATGTATTATATATTTTAAACGTAAGCTCTTAAGAGTACTGCTTTTTCATTAATTTAACAATATGTTATTATAACATGCTGCCACTTTTCTATTATATAGTTTTTTTTACAATTATAACATACATTACAATTTCCGTTTTGTTAAATACTAGTCCTAAATCCCTACAATTTTTATATCAACACAAATACCATTTCTTTTATTGTGCGCTATAAAACTTTGTTATATTTAAATTAAATAAAATATTCACCAGAGTAAAGAAAATCTTAAGTTTACATTTTCATTTTGATATGTGGCGTGAAAAATCATATTTCTATTTTAAATACAAAGCACTTTGTATACTGAAAAGTTAGTTTTTCCTTAAAAACCTTCAAAATTGAATTACAATTTAATTATTTTTATAATTGAAATTATAAAAAATCTAAACAAACAACAATATCTGAACTTAATCAACTATTTTTGTAAGTTTTACTTGGATGATGTAATTTTTTTCTAAGGTTCTCTAAATTTTCTAGTATATACTACATATTTAAAAAGAAAAGCACTCTTTCAAGGCCTAAAAAGTCATATTATATTTAAACAATAAAGAACCAAAGTATCCAAGGATTCTATACATTTTACTGTCTAATATTCACAATTAAAAATTAGATTTAGACCAGAAATATACAATTTTGGGTTAAAATTTTAAATAAATACAAATTCGTGGTATGTACACGTGGGAATGAATCTTTTTATCTCCTTGCGGGAAAAAAAGACAAAATTGTGATATTTTCATTATTTCTTTCATTAAAAATTCACAAGTTACTATTTTAATAAAATAATAGTTGCAATAAAATCAAAACATTTCAAGTTATCAAACTGGAAAAACTGAAAAAAGTTCAGCCAAAAATAATAACGGTACCAAAAATTTTTGGCTGTGAAAATTTTTAAAGAGGTTTTGCATGTCTTATTAGTAAAAATATGTAAATTTTTACATAAATGTGTAACATTTTAGTGACATGCTGTAAAAAATCGATGCAGAACTCGATTTTATTGACCAAAAATATTAATTTTTGGATATAATCTTATATGGAATGTGTATTTTTGTTGTGTTATTTAGATTCATTCAATGGGTGCGGTGGTGTGACAATTCCGTTGGAGTGAATCCGGGCGCGTTTATTAATGTCGCGACCCCCGCGTGGCGTGTGTGCTTATACTAATATATCAACATTTGTATAATTGTATATGGGCTATGGAAACTGATATGGCAGAATGCGATTTTGATAAAATTCACTTGTTATCCAGAGGTTTAAACAACAATTAATGATAAACAAAAAATATTTTTTATAAAATTTTCACATATAAAAGTAAAAATTTTGGTAATTATCAGTGATTGAAATAAAAAATGTAGACAATATCTAAAAGTATAAATATAATTATGACAGAACAATTTTTGCTTAGATATTCTTCTGTAGCAAACTCTAACCTCTAAAAACAGGAAAATTATGAAAACCACATTCTGACAGACCAATTTTTTTACTATTGTACATTATGGAGGATAGGGGGGCAAAGTGGGGGGGTGGTTGTGTAAAGTGTATAAATATATCTATGGCTGAGTGAGGCACGTCACGCGGGCAACGTTAAAAGGTACGACAGTTCAGTCTTATGGAACGGTATAGTGGAATTATGACCATGGTGTGCAACTTTAGTGAAAGTTGGCTGACTAATTCGTTAAATTTAGCAGTCACGTTCATACTTTAGTCAAACACTCCCTTACTATGTAGATGCTATAACTCTAACAAATGCCTAAAAACAATTTCTGTAAGATCATGTATAAAAAAATCTGACAAAAAGTATTACTTAGCAATCAATTAAAGCTTAGAACCATATAAACGTAAGAGTGTTCTTAAATATTCATTGGAAAATATCTTGAGAATCAGAAAATGATCGGCGGATCAAGTCCAATGGCCAAAAGTCCACAAACCAATCGAGTCCGGACCCACTTCAACAAAATTCTTGGTGCGCTCAGCGCTGAACCAAACCCGCGCGGGCGTTAGCAGCGCGCGGGCACGGATAAAACGGACTTAGCCTATACTTATCTAATATGCCACAAAATTTAGTTTTTGCTGGTAATTTTGCCTTATAAAAGTATATTACTGTTAATATTTTACATAAATTATGTACTTTTTCTTTCAAATAGAGTGAAGTACTTCAAATATTGTGATATATTTTATTTCACATAAAAATTTTAAAATCTTCAGATAAACTTCTAAAATTTTTGAAATAAAATTCACTCAGATAACATTTTGAAATTGCAACAAAAATATAAAATTTGTAGAGATACTAACAGTAATATTACTTAAAAGGAATCTCTTCTATCAGTCAACAGTTATTTACAAAGGGGGATGGTTTTGTGGCATCCATTTTGAATTTTGACTGTAACATAAACTGTAAAACTTTAATAAATATGCATTGCTATAATATTGTTTTAAAATACTTAAGCACATAGGTTATTATAATACTGAGATTGTTATATAAAAATCTGTTCTAATGTAATTTAAAGTTATTTTTAATATCAGATTTGGGTTATTTTTGACTTCTTATTTGAAATTACTTTGTCGAGCAATGCTTTATCATTTTTATATTATAAAATTAGTTATGTATGTATGTATATCACAGTCAAAACTCAAAAAGTTGAGTTTCAATACAAAATGGAAAACAGTGTAACACTTAAACTATGTAAAAATGCTGCTAAAGCTTGTCCTTATATAGTTACCATATTGTACTTTATTATCTGATCTTTTTCTAGACCATTCCATTGTTCATGGAGTTTGCATTTTTTACTTATAGAGTTCATTTAAGAACAAGCTTTAAAACAAGTATCACATCGACCCTGCAGGTCTAACAGTAGGTTGTGCATTACCATTACGCAACAAAATCTAGCGGCCTGTTAAAGCCTCCTTTTCTGTTCATATACTGCCTATATTTGCGTTTTAATACAACATGCACATCGCCTTCAACATTACCATCAACCTTCTTACCTTTAGTTGTGTCAAAGCCGCAGAAACCCATGACTTTCAACATCTCCTGCTCTTCAGGAGTCTTGCCTTCTAAGTCGGCTGGAGTCACAATGGGTCGTTCACCGAAATTTTTCTTTGGTTTTGGCACGAAAGACGTGGTAGGTGTGGGAGATATGGACCTAGATCGTCGGCGACGAGGTGAGGGGGACCGACGGCGTTCTGCTGAACGTCGTCTTCGGTCAAGTGACCGTGAACGGGACCGGGTTCTAGGCCTCCGCCTTTCGCGGTCCCGATCACGGTCTCGATCTCTCTCACGGCGATCACGACGGTCCTCACGCCGCCGCGGGCTCGGCGAGCGACCCATTCAAGCTGTGGATAATTAAAGGAAAATTATAAAAATGAAAGAATAAAACTAATAAATATAAATCGCGGCATATTTACCTCAATGTCAAGTCAACAGCGTGTAAAATTTATAAAAAAAACAAAAAAGATAACAGTGACACACAACCTAAACGTTCGCCATTTTGAAAATGAATGAAATCTGGATTTTTTTTAACGACGAAACGTTATTTTTGCGTTCCGTTTACAATTAGAATTGATGGTATTCAACATGTAATAAATTTATATTTTAGTAATTTAACATTATTTATCATTTAAAAAATAAATAAAGCATTTTTTTCATGTGTATAATAAAAATAAATAAAATTTAAAATCAAGTTTATTAGCATTCCTTTCATATTTGAAAAAAATATATCGTATTTTCAATATTAATAAATGATAAAAAATAACTTAAAAATACTTAAATACTTATAATAATAAATTTTTAAAAGAGTTTAAATAGTATTTTTAACATACATATCATATACATGGTTCGCTTATATCGACGTGAAATGGAACGTTTTTTGGTGCTTACACTACATAAAATTTTCCCAGTTTTTTGTATTTTAGATTTCTAATTAAAAATAATTAAATTCATTACTTTTCGTAATTTTAAAAAGAAGTGAATATATTTCTTAAATGTTAATTTAAAATAAAACATGTATGTGTACTTATGTACGCACGTAAGAAGTTATACACTTCTTTGGCGTAACAGAACAAAAATAGCTAGAGATTTCGTCCCGTATGTCACAACTCTCTGTTTTTAAAAGCAATGCAGCTAACTTCATAATTTCGCTTTCAGCTAACGTAATTATATCTCTTTTTCTTCTTTTTCCAAACGTCCCAAAAGAAGTATAACTTCAAAAATATTTATAAATGCATTCTTAAAATAACAATAATATTATTAATAATTTAATGCATTTATCCATTTTGCATCAACATTCAGATCAATCAAAAATCAATATTTAGTCTGCGTATAATGTTTATAAAATTATATAACATTAATTTTCAATGTAATTAGAACTGTGACTTTACTGTTTAGCAAAATAAACTTATCATCATATTATATATAAATTATAAACACCATTGACGTCATTATCACATTCATTCCACAAAATAAACAACTAAATTTTTAATCATCAAACATTAGTTATTCATACAAACAAATAGAATTTGAACATCTTAATTTGATAATTTGTTCAAATTTCCATAATAATAGTTATATTTAATATTTAGCCATATTGAAAATAATATGCGATATGATAATTCCGTCAACCCGCACTTGGCCAGCGTGGTGGACTATGGCCTGATCCACCTCGTATTGAAGGGAGGCCCACCCCCAGCAGTGGGACGTTAAAAAGAGCAATCTCAAAAATGATTATTTAAAAATATATGCTAAATAAATAAAACCTTTTTAGAGTAACTCTTATTTAAATACTAGCAACACAAACTACAACAGCGCCATCTGGTGGCATGCACTTATCATTCGACAGTCGAGAACGCCGTCGCGGCTCCGATACGAAGCTCCGAAATCGATTTACGGAAGCCGTTGCAGACGGTATCTTTTTACAACAAAAAAGGATTTATATCCACGTTATGTCTCTGGTGCTAGTGTTATAGGAGACTATAGTGCGTGCCGCTTATAATATTATGTTATGTGCTTAGTGTAATACATTTTTGTGGGGTGTGATTCTGTGTGAAAACGACTTATCGCCTTTCGGAGCGATAGCCGGTAAGTAATTACATGTATTTGTTATCAGAATATACGAATTAGATAATATCCAATAGGATCTGAGCGCCTCAACACTCTGCGGTGAGGGTGACCTGGGTGTGGTGTTGAACTCGCTAGATCGGAACTGGGTCGATTTTTTTAGCTCAATCTTAGTATAATGACTAAGTCCATGTATTTCTGGACGATTGACGCTCGCTGCTCTAATGTTGACGTATTCCCTACCTGTTTCCGACATTTTATTGTAAAATGTATATAGCACAGTAGTTATTACGTGATTATTACATTTTAAACGCTTAAACGTATGAATGTGTAATGTAATTTTGTATTTTATTATATATTTCTGTTGTATTTCGGGCGTGCCGTCGTTGTGAAGCGTATTATCTTCATCAATAGAGGTGATGTCACCGCTAGGGCGCGGATGAGCGTATAACCCGACTGGTTTCAGGAGCACATTATATAGTATAAAGAGAGTTTAATACTCAACCACTTCAATTCGGTCGGTTATTCAATAACTACCTCGTATAATCGGCCGATGTCCAGATTTACTGCACAAAAACTGATTAAATTGAGGTTAACAGTTAAATTGCTTCGAAATTACACAATAGTTTTTATGTGCATTGATTTTAATGGGCTTTTGTGTTATCTTTTATCAATTTTCTTTGCTATGCTCTTCTGACTTAATTACTGAATATATTTTATTATAAATATATTTTTTAATATGTAAAATGATTATAAATTTCATCTTCACTTTTATAGACATAATAAATAGAAATATCTTTAATATAACTTAAATAAAATAGCCATAGTTTTAACTAAGAAAGCTCTAAAACAAGTCCAACTGGTTTTCACACTACTTACACATTTCCATGTAATGTTTTATGTATTCGAACTTATCGAAAAACTTAGGTAATATCCTTTAAAGTATTATATTTTTACTAATTAACACACTTAATGGTCTAGTGGCTAATCCGGCTTCATCTTGATATTTTTTGACACTCTTCCTAATTAAATTATTATATATTCCATACTACCATGCCTTTCTTCTCCATTATATGTGACACTGACAAAGTAATCTATATATATTCAGCCCTTTTTAAAGTCCCACTGCTGGGCACGTGCCTCCCTTCAGAACTGTGTTCTTTTGAGAAGCGGCTAGGTTCTCTCAGACATGCAGGTTTTGTCACAATGTTTTCCTTCACCATAATACAAGTGATAATCATATTCAAAACGAATCACGTATGAAAAATATCAAAGTTATGAGACCAGGGCTTTGAATCCGCTTCATTCTGTTTCGCAAGCGAGTCAGTTACCATTGGGCTACCACTGTTTATACATCACTGAAATTCTTTTACACCATTATCAAGAAAATTTATAAGTAACGATCTATTCTTCCCAACTAAACTAGGGGTTGGACAAAGAAGAAGATCTGTACTCCTATTCTATTAAACTTGATGCTAATTTTACTTAAGCAATAAGATGTTGTTCTACTAATTGTTGTCATCCATTTTCAGGCCTTTAAAAGTTTTTTTTAAATTAAATAGCTTAGTATTATTATGTTTTTTTTTCACAGCATAAAAGCAAAAATATCTAAGATGAATTAAGTCTTTTAAATATAGTGGATTTCTAGTTTGTACATTGGTTTAAATTTCAACCAAAATCATTATTGGTTTTTTTTTCACACAAAAACATGCCAATAGGTACTAAACAACAATTTTTTTTTGGGAAACAGAGGATAAAAAAGTGTAAAAAACTATGTCTATTTATGTATAGATCTTTAAAAAAGACAAAGGAACATATTAAATTCTAAAATCATTTTAAAAAAAAACTATTCAGAGTCAATGCAATCTGAAATAATCAATATTATCCTATGGGAAACCATACATTTTTCCTGGATAAAATGTTACCTATGTGCTATTCGAGACTATATTCAATCTTTGTGCCAAATTTCATCGAGATCAGTTTAGTCTTTCTGGCGTGAAAGAGTTACAACAAACCATCCATCCTCACAAACCTTCTCATTTACAATATTAGTATGGATTTTTTGTTAACCTATTGTACATTTTTTTTTCTGTAATGCCTGTTTTACATCATTCAACAAGTTCTATTGTGAGCGATGAATGTGAAAAAAATGAGAAATTTGATTTAAATATTTTAGGGTGCAGTCACATTTTACAGATTAACATATTTTTTTTTAAATATATTTAACAGGTGACCAGAGCTGGTCACCACCAGCCTTAGCATGTCTAACAATGTTGCTGGCTGGACTGTTTTTATGATCTTTGTATTTCTTCACCCCGAATGCTATTCGTATAACTATTAAAATATTTAAAAAAAAACATGAAAAAAAAATTGATTTATTTTTATACAAAGCATCAAAACATACCTAGGGACGTACCTGAGCGAAGCGAGGGTGAGTCGTCAGACTATATAATAATGAATGTTATATGTAATTGAAAGTAAAATATGTAAAAATTTAAAAAATTATGCACAAAAGTCACAGACAAAAGTTAGTATGTGGATAAAATTGTAAAAACCCATTTTAAAACTTAAATGTAGATATGCCATTACTTAGCTTTTTTCTCAGCTCAATGATTTGCCTCTATTGTTAGACTTTTTTTGTCATTTACAGAGTCTTGCTTTTGAGATGTTTTTGAGAATTAAAACATTTTTTTCTTGAAAAAGTAGTATATTAGATTTTTTTTTGATTGCGGAAAAAGTTTATCATTTTTCTTGTCATTGTGTGAATATAATCAACTAGCGACTCACCCTCGCTTCGCTCTGCTTCGTCCCTAGCTTGCTTCCTAATACAAACTGATCACCATTTTCACCCCCCGATAAGGGATGATTTCCGGGATAAAAAGTATCCTTTGTCTTTCCCAGGGTCTCAAACCATAATATCTTCTTACCAAATTTCATCTAAATCGGTTCAGTAGATCCAGAGATTACCCCCTACAACGTCACAAACTCACAAACTTTACCTCTTTATAAAATTAGTATAGATTTAGTACAAAAAAATATGAAGATGTGTATATATATTTTTTTTGAAGTTTTAAATAATTATTATGTATGTTGTATTCAATTAAAATTGAAATTGAGGAATTTTCTCTTTTGAATAGTCTTTAACTGTTTTGGAAAGAAATGCTCAGTCCATTCGCACTTTGCCAGAGTTAAAAATAAAGCCATGAGACCATGTTGAGAATCTCATAGATGCAAATTCTTATAGGTGCAAGTTCTATTCCCAGTTAAAGACATTT